GCTTGCTCTCCATGAGACACACAGACAGGGAGAGAGAAGCTTGGGGTCAGAGCGCAGGGTCAGCCATTTATATGGCAGTTGGGGGTTAGGGGCCTAGCTCAGGGGCCCAACAAAGTAGGATTACTTTGCCGGAGTGAGTGCTCCCACGTTGCTCAGCCAGTAGTTGCCCTGCATAAGCCCAGAAGTCTCAGCTGCTGCAGGTTTGAGTCAGGGCTACCTTAACAGCTGGCAGTGACCAGAACGGATCTGCTGAACATAAATGGTATAGGTCACCCAAAACAACCTATTTCTAGCTAAGCATGGGTAACTATTTGGTTTCTAAGATGGTTTTGTGGGGGGGTGGATTAAAAATCCAAGACTAAGTCTCTTTTAACCCAACTTTAGGTCAGGGAAGGGCAAATCCAATTCTCAAAGACATGGGGACCTTCTGATTTTCTTTCCACTGCCAATTTTACTTTCTTCTTTTAAAAATATGGCCTCACCACTTGAATAAGAAACCAAATCAGATTTTTAAGTCTCCATCGGTTGTCAATTTAAAACTCCGTGAAGGCTCGAGGCCAATGAGGACCGGAGCTAACCACACCTACTGTAGATGAGGACAGAGGTGTGGCATTTTGAATTGGGGTCCAAGTTTAGTAGAGTAACAAAGTTAGATCTGGCGAGAGTAAAGAACCCTTCTTTAGATTTACATCGCACATTATTGAAATACACAAAGGTGGGGGGCAGCTACAGCATTCTCTTATCTTTCATCAAGGTTTCCATCAGAGAGATGTACAAAGACCCTCATTAATCACACAGACTGAAACAAATGGTGAGAACGGGAGGGAACATGGACAGACTAAAAAACACAGAGGATAACGCCTTAACGCCTACGAATTTGGCCGGCCATTTTCTTTGGCGGCCTCTTCAGGAGCATCAGTCTCTGGCTGCGGCAGCAATCCGGGAAGGTACTCGTAAAGGTTCTTTTCCAGCTGGCGGTCTATCTCGGTTTCCTCCCGAAAGAAGCACCACACCAGTAAGGAGATCCCTAGCAGGCTGAGGGGAAGGACTTTCCACAGGGGCTTCTGATGCTCACTGCCCAGGGACTTGTCCACCGTCCACGTGCGATGGCTGGCCTTGCTGGTGGAGAACTTGATGGGCTGGTCACCGTCAGCCGGCGGGGATGTCCTGCTCTTCGGCGGCGTTGTGCACAGGGCTTTCGGCGAGTCGTATCTATGGAGAATCAGAAACCTGCGACAATTTCCAGTTTTACACCAAAGGGCTTTTGTTTTTTCAGCGCAGAGGTCAAATCTGTATCCCTCTTGACATTTTGTATCTCCTTCATCCATACGCACTGCAGCCAGTGAAATGAGAACTTATGTAATATAAACATCTCCATCAATCCTTATTTTTCCCTCCACATACTTAAGGTGAACACAGCATTATCCCGCTGTGGATGATAACGGTTTTGTTGAATTTGTTGGTCAGAAGACCCACAGAAACCCAAGTTCCAGAAGGGGGAACAATTATGCAGGGATACTGTACTGGCTACTAACTCGGCATTATCGTAACTAAAACCACCTTTATGCCATCATTAGTTAAATCGGTCAAAATTAAAGACGTAAAAAAGACTCGGGATCGATAAAAAAAAATCTCTCGTATTGACATAAGGAGACGAATAAAGTATTTTGTATTTTGAATTGAGTAGAACTGCTTATCTGGAATAAAACGACAGGTTTTCTCGGTAATTTATATCCAAGACCGATTAAACCGCTTGATTTCGCCACACCTGTAGATTCTGTTCTACAACCTTTGATCCCGTTGAAGGAACAGCTGCACGTCCGTTTTCAGCGTCTAAATCTAACGAGAATTTCCCTGATTGAAAGAAGCCCCTGACCACAGACTGTACCTGAACACTTCGCGATCCATCACACTACTGGGCGTTTTGTCGCTGCTGTTTTGTATAAATTGTAATGTACCGAATCATGATGTTTTGGCAAATCGCTTTATAGTTATGCAACTTTATTCCATACAATTAAGTAACGGTTTTTTTTAAATCGAGTGTTTTATAAACCAATTCTAGAGATAATAATAGTAATAATCACCGTGCGACATCTAGCTAGATTTAGTCTTCGTTCTCTTCAAGGTCACGGTAAACGTAACGACTATTAACGACCACAACTCGCTCGTGTTAAACTCACGATATGGGGACAAGAGATTTCTGCATTGGCATATCTTGAAACAATTTAACCTTTGCTATTGTTAGGAAAGATGCCATAGTGTCGTGTTTTCCCCGAAATCTCCACTTCTAGAAACATTCAGGACATGCACTCACTCTACAATTTAAAAATAGGCACTTACCTTGCACACCTGTGTGGATTACAAATAAACACCCCCCGATACAGGCACTTTATTCTCACATTACAAAACAGAGTCCGTCCTAGTCCCGACATCTTCAACTCACGCTTTAGGTAATGCTACATGCCAGTGCAACTGCGTGTACACTCCGTAAAGCAACTAGACCGTGATAAATTCGTTCCTCTGTCACGAACGAGGGATTATCTCGAAATATCTGCAGGATACTTTAAACGTACAAGGATAGTGTTGTAGCAGCTAAAATCTACTACAATAAAAATAGCACGAGTAAAAATGCATTTGCATTTTGTTCGTTGGTTGTTATAGGGTATTTATTCGAGAAGTTTATCTAGTCAAATTAAAAATAATCCCAGTGATTCAGCTTCAAGAACCAAGGCCGGGCCGGTTTGATAAAAAAAACTGCATCCTCTCCTCAGATTTGAGTGCTCACCCTTTTCATTTCTTTTTTGTGTAAAACGATGCAAAAACGGCCTTATATTTATCTTTCCTAGACAGGAATAGGCAATAGGCTGTCACTGACAACACGTGCACGGTACTCCAGCAGGTTGCCACATGCGACCCCAACCCCCAGCCACAGCCACACTGAAAATGGGCTGGCCTTTGTGAGATTGACAACCATATAGCCAATCGAAACGGGACATTAGTGAGCCAGAACCAATCACAGTGAAGGGGCGGTGCGTAGCACCATGCTTTCTATGGCGCGCGTGAAGCAAGAACTTGCTCGTGTTGTACACAAACTGGAGGAGTACCGTGACTGGTGTGAGTAGTGCAAATGCGTAATTAAATTTTAGCCTAAGTCTAATTCTGTGGTGTAAAGCTTTTATGTATGAACATATCGGAAGTTATGCAAGTCATTGATGCTGTGGTTGTGGACATTTAATGTTACAAAATTCTGCTTTTGAAATGAAACTTATTTAAAACGCAATTTTAATCATTAACCTCACACGCGTTGTTGCTTGTAATTTTCCTGGACTGCGTGTTTGCTGCTTAAATGTTAGCAAAAAGCTAACTATGGGCAAAAGTTTGTTGATATTTCTATGAATTGAGTTCTTTGAATGTGGCAACTATGTATGCGTGTTTGGGTTTGTATTATGACTAGTTTTCTAGCTTTTAATTTTCTAATGTAAAAGCCCCTTTACATCTTTGGAAAACAAAGTACTAATATGCTGGCAAGGCCTTACGAATTAATTATTCTTGGTAACGGAAAAAATAACGAACACTCCTTTCCACGAAGTAACCTGCTACTTCTTACCCAAAGTGACTTACATTTATAACGTTATACAGGAGGGTATTTTACAGAAGCAATCTGATTGATGTACCTTGTTCAAGGGTACAACACCAGGATTTGAAACCACATTTTTAAGGCATCTGTAAAGAGCCCTAACAACTACCATACACTGCTACTAATGATATTTTTATAAAGCGTTATTGTCCATCCAAAAGGATTGACATTTGTCTTTGGCAAAACCATACAGAACCATATATATAAAAAAAAACTCTTGACATAAAATATATACACGTTTAAAACACACTATTGTATAGTCCTGGTCATTCAGCAATACGTTTGCTGTTTTCCAAAAGTAGAAAACAACAAGACACATGTATGGATCTGTTTCTCTGTCAGTTCTAATCGACCTTCACCACTTTTTATTATGTTGGGCTGGAAAGCTAATGAAAAATACTGAATGATGGCACAGCACATATGTGTGAAGCACAATATGTATGGAGTCTGATGTGATAATGCTTTAATGAGATGTCTTCATAGACTTCCTGATTTAATTAGCCACTAGGGGGACATAAGGGGTATATTATGTTTTATTATTATTTTCTTAAATTTGGAGCCTTGAGAACCTGACTGGAGAGAGAGAATTCTGTTCATTTTCATTTCAGCATGAATTCAGAAGACGTTATAATGCAAGGAGTACCTTTCCTT